TTCCTGGTGGGATGGTAAACTGGAACTGTTGCATCATAGATGAGAAGTATAGAAAGAGTTCATGTTTGGCCAGTTGTTCTCCCATGCACATACGTCTACCTGCGAAAAGATTGTATATGGAATACATTCAGCTTTTATTTATCGTGCTTACTAGAGATTAATCAGTGCTTACTTTTGCAACACATGAACACTTACGTAAACATAGAAAACACAATTTTTATTAAATATTATAATGATATTTACCAGCTGAAAAGGGCATAAAACTTTCATGTTTAATCACCGTCCCTGTACTCGCATCATAGAATCTATTTGGATCAAATTTATTTGGTTCCGGCCACAACTTCGGATCATGGTGGAGAGACCTGGAAACGAAGCCCGGACAGTGTTAAAAGAATACATTTTAAGATATATCATTTGAATATATGAAGATAGTAATAACACGAATGTTACGTTTGTAGTATGACAGGAAGACGTCAAACGTCAGTTTAATTAGAATGAATTTGAAAATTTTGTGAAACACCTAGTTTTGTAAATGTGTTGAGCTGGCTGTCATTTTCTGATCACTTGGGCATTGGCGTCAACCAGCTTCTTTCATTTTCCACCAATCAGTGCCAAGTATATTGCCAGTTACACGTGGCCCATAGTGAAACTATTTTTTATCAAAATTGTTTTGTGAGTTGTCGACTCAAATACAACTTACCACAGTATTAAAAGGACAACCATTCCTTTAGGAATATTATATCCACACAGGGTACTGTCTGTTAACGCCGAATGTGATAATGTGTATGGTGCAATACAAGCAAATCGCTGTATTTCAAGCAGAGTGGCTTCAGTGTATGGCAGGTGTTTACGATCATCAAGTTTTGGCAGTCTATTCATTCCAACATTCTGAAACAAGATTAGAAATATGAATGTTTCACGTGACCTCAAAACAGCAAGAAACGATCCTCCAGTGCCCTACATTTGCTAAATATCCATTAAATAGACCCCTGTCTCCTAATTTTAGGAAAAATTAATCAAATAGTACATATTTTAACATCTAAGATGTCACACTACATTTTGAAATGTTGTTGTAATAGATGTCAAGCTTGTATGTTATGTATTATATACTATTTTATAAAATATGACACAAGAATGTGAACCAATCAGATTTAACATATGTGGGGAGGGGGTCGGGGTCGTCTTCACTGCTGTGACGTTCAAATACTGTGATAATTCTGTTTACTATTTGTTTTAAAGGGTAAAAAAACTTAATAATTGTTGTTTAAGTGTAGTTCGAGAAAATCAATTACATATATATATTCTGGCTTGCACGATTGGTCATTTGTAAAAAAAATTGAAATGAAAGAACCTACCTCCTTTATTTCATGGAACACCTTTTCTTGGATTGAAGGATGGAGAATCATAAGCAACAAAGCCCAGTTGAGAGTGGTTGCCGTGGTTTCTGTGCCAGCAACAAAAAGATCAACTAAAACTGATTGTAGGTCTTCATCACAAAAGCCGTCACTGTTGTGCCGTTTTTGTGCTTCAGCCAAATACGTATCTATGAAATCGCGGATATTGTCCTCGTTGAATTTTGCATGATGGTCATCTATCTGTTGTCGACAGAATCTATGCAGATTCTTTCCTAGATTAGCGCAGTGATTAATTTCATTTTTGTAAAAAGGTCTTAAAAATGCCATCGCATTTAATCTGAATATCTTTTGAATCATCGCAAACCATTTGTGCATTGTGTCGATCATGTAAATGAATTCTGGATCTGTATATTCGAACCTCTTGCCAAATGTGATGGAACAAATTATGTTTGATACACTTCTGTTTATAATGTCTTTAACTTCTAAAGGGATATCTAACTTCCTCTAATATTAAGAGAAAAACAAACAAAGATAGGGGTTATAATTTCAAACAAACAAACAAACAAATAAAATAAACAAAATAAATAAATAAATAAATAAATAAATAAATAAATAAATAAACAAAATAAACAAAATAAATAAATAAATAAATAAATAAATAAATAAATAAATAAATAAATAAATAAATAAATAAATAAATAAATAAATAAATAAATAAATAAATAAATAAATAAATAAATAAATAAATAAATAAATAAATAAATAAATAAATAAATAAATAAATAAATAAATTGTGGTCAGATATCAACATGGACTAAGCTTTCGTCAGGTACCACCAGTGCCAGGTATGGCTTATTTTGTGGCTAGTTAACTTCAGTTGCTGATGATAACAAGTTTTAACCCAATTGGCTAGGCTTAGTGACTGATAGATAAGGTTTCTTCTTGAAATACTGGCACCCACCTTGAAATGATCTAGCAAAACAGAAATCTCTTCTGTTATTTTACTTTCAAAGCTTGTCTTTCCAAAACCAAGTCCCCGCAGAGTTGTGTGACAGAAACGTCTCCGACGTTGAAATGCATCATCAAAACGGGCGCTCGTAATACCTTAACAAAGATAAAAAATACACAAGTGGTTAATGTAAGTGAAAAAAATATATGGTATAAAACATTCCATAATGAATAAATAATAATCAACGTTGATTGCGTCACAGAGTAAGTCTTGTGAACTGTAAAATCGAAATATCATCCGCAAACGAGTACAATACTGATATTTGTATTCTCCGTTCAATGCGAGATCCCGCGCTTTGCGTGAAATCTAACGTAAAAACAGAACAAACAAAGGCCATAGCGTTGCAGGACGTCAACACATCGCGTGGTATTCGACAAATGTTCACGTTTAATAAAGTGTGCTATACACAATAATGACACAGTAATGATTATCACTGTACTGCTAATGTAATCTTTTGGAATCATTATAGCAAAATATTACCATATGCATGAGGGTTGCTCAGTTGAAAGACCCACAGAGGAGGCCTGTCTGCATAGTCATTTCCTTTCTTCACCAGACATTCTTTTATTGCATCTGATCCAACTACAATAACTCTGCAGTCCGGTCCCATCTTTACACTGTAAACGCTGCCATACTTCTTCGAAAGCTCCCACATGGTTTTATATATATGCTTGCTGAAATATGCGGAACTACCGAGGAGTGGCAATCCCCACGGCCCAGGTGGAAAGTTCTTACACGGTGCTTTGTAATGTCGTATGGTCACCCATGTTATCAGAAGCATTAATATCAATAGTATTAACAGTATAGTACTGAACATCGTTGATATGTTGTCAGGATCACAGAATTAAAAGAATAACTGAAAAAAAAAATATATACCGGTATGTTATCGGAGCTTTGCATATACGTGTAATAAGCTAAAGCGCCATATACGCATTGTTTATGAATGTGTACAACGAGTGTAAAATGCGTCAAGATGAGTATATATTACTGTCTGCACCAGGGAGATTGGCAAGATCTGAATGAAACGATTCGGAGTGAGTAGTCAGTATGCCATCGTCGAAGGAACAACGTCCCCTTTTTTTACGAATCGATGAAATCACTTCTGAGATTTACAGAATAAACAAAATTTAGAAAAATACATAAAAATATACACAGCCTAAAATTGTGTCTACTGCAAACAAATTACACCGAAAACCAGTTTGGCACTACCATTTGCATGAAAAAGTGAGTTCTATGCCGAACAAGCGCGTTAGAAATAAATAGAACACATTGCGGCACGGAGTCACGCCTGCCCTTACTCACGCAAATAAGAATCTATTTTGCGCCTATGTCACTTTCTTTAAACTAGCTGAATAATATAAAGCAACTAAGGACTGAGATTACACATTATTTTAATAGTAAGTGAACACGTTATGCAAAGGTTATAGGTCCAAATAAGAATAACAAACAAACTGCCAAAAATAGTAAGCACAAAAAAATGGTAATATAAGTACAATACATAGTGCCTCATATTATTATGGGATTCTGCCGAAGAATAAGCTATCTGATTAAAATCCGATACAGGTATAGGCTACATTTTTTTTTAACTTTTATATTTTTTATTGTTATTTTTGTTTTTTGTGACTATTTTTTTGGTTTTCCTTGCCGTTATTAAGTTTGCTATATATAGTGTCACCTACCGTGATATACATTGCGTTTATTTATTTTTTATGTTTTCGAAATCTATCACTGGCTACGTTCATTTTGTCGTGTCGTTTTGGCTGTAAAATAATTGTTTGTGAATAGTACCCCCCCTACAAAACATAATTACTGTCATCGTCTGTTATGAGCCACCCAATGACGATATTATACAATGCATGAATAATCTCCACTATGCCCTAAATTCAGTCAGGATGCTGGTTGTGGTCAAATATGTCTATTGGCCGACTGTGTCAAGTGAGCGCAGAATGTTTATATTTCTTGTAGCAGGATTCAATATAAATAGTACAGCTTATGTGTGACTTTTGAATTAGTTACTAGTAAGTTGAACAATTTTGCTACTCGCGAAATGGGAAATATTCTTGTCCTAGTTTAGTGTTAGTGATAGCACTGTAATTCAGAATGAACGAACTCGTACTGTAACGTATATAGCATTTGTTCACTGTGTGTGTAATAACCCCGCTGAACATGATACCTATAGTGAGTAATACACCAATTCACCATCGTAATAATATTATTATTTCATATTCTAAATACGTGTCCGCAAACATTGTTGATACTTATAGAAATTGTACTTGTAGTTTGTTCCCACTGTCACTCTTTTTAATTGTTATTTGCATAGAAACAAATAATTAGTCACAGGATGATTAAACTGGAACTGCAACAGTGAGGGTACTATGAAATAATCCTGATGTATGGTATCAATCCTGATGTATGGTATCGTTCAAGGAATATTCATTCA